GGATGGGGACTCAAGACAGAAGAAGTATAATACCTGCCAAGAAACAAGCCAGGCCATAGATGTGTATGATAAAGAATTACATTTTTTAAAAAAACACACAAATGTTATTTGGAAATAATTTATACTCTTCAGAAGCATTTACAGATAACGATTCACTTTGCCAATGGAAATTAAAAGCTTTCTTCCTTGCAGGACTGGCTTTTAACTCATGTTTGTCCCTCAAATCCCAGCAAAGAGTAGCTGCTTAACAAATGATGTGGATATAAATTAAGGACAATCAAGAGCATTATTCAGTACAGTCAAGGAAGATTCTACAAAGTCTTGCGGTTTACCTTGTCTAGCTTGCTAGATTACCTTATATCACAGGGAAAGAGGAGTTTTCTCATCCTAAGAACTTCCTGAAAGAGCAATTCTCAGTTTGACATCCAGGTACCCTCTAAGACTTAAAGAGATGAACACAGGGATTGTGAGTGCTCCCTTGGTGAGTGTCAAAGAAAGCTCTTTCTCATTTCTTTGTACCCCTAGAATAATTTCTTTAGAGAGAAAAGAATCTAAGATCCATATGTTCAATGTGATCCATTTATCTTACCTGGAGCTGAGGTTTCTTTTTTTTTTTTTTTTTTCAAAAATTAACAGCCACAATAGTTTATTTACAATTGAACTCTTTATAAGATATTTACAAGACAACCAATTTTACACATCAGAAATGGTATCAAAAGTATGAATTACAACACAGACAACAATATGAAATGAGCACAAAACAAAGCTGAAGTAGACAGACAAGCAATTTCTCTTTTTAATTTATTAACACTAGCTTAAACTTTGTTAAAGAAAAACAAAGAACTATGTTTTAGGAGAACTGCAGGGCTTTCAATTGAAGATTGAATTTCACAGTGTTGTATCCCATGTAGGGAAAAATAAGACTAATTTTCCCCTCACGCTCAAACACACTGTAATTTCCCTCTTGGAACTTTGCTAATCTACTCTCCAAGCTCCTTCTCAACAAACCTCAAGACATCCAAATCAAAGGAGAATTGATCTAGAAGAAGGGACAATAAAATAAGAGGTCCTCAGGGAGAGGGAGAACCAAGAAAACAGAATCCACTAAAGTCTGGCCAGATAGCACCTCATGGATTCCTCTCAGTCTAGTTCAAGTCAGAATCTGAGGAGTCCCCTGGGCAGGGCACAAACATAAAGTTAAATTTGCTAACCCATATCCAAAATTAGGAATCCAACAAATGCTGAAATCAAGTAGAAACTGAGAGGGATCAAGGAACAAAGTCAAGAGACACTGATTGGGGTCTTTTATCTTTTGGGGCACATTATAAAGGAACATAACATAGGTAGAGTAGGAAAGCAAAACAGCTTGCCACATTAAAATGATGAAGAACAAAGAAAATCTGGCCCAGTTTTTCTAGAAATCTTCTCCTTAAGGTGTGAGATGAGAGCCCCTAGTGGAATAAGTCCTATTTCTCTCTACATCCTTGCTGCAATGACGTTCACAGAAGGTTCCCTTATAGAGAGCCCACTCTCCTAAGCAGATGGAGTTATAAATGAAAACCCATAGCCACACACACACAAAAAAGGAGAAATAAGAGCAGCAAGATCATCCAAGAATACTACATGTGCTGCCGGAGTAATTCCTTTAAAAGTCAAATCCAGGGAGCACAGATCAACATCTCACAAAAAGCTTTAGCAGTGGGAGGCCCCTGAGGAACTTTTCTTCTCTTCCCACAATGGTATCCCCATTCTCTCTCATGCTCCACTGATGGGCCGGCCACACATCCTACATACCTTGGCTTCTCCTCTAAAAGTGCTAATAATATGGGGACATATTCTCGTCAAGGATAAAAGCCCCTACCTTCTAGGAGATTAGACCCCTACTTGTTTTCACACAATAGTCCTGAAGACTAAAGAAAGGCAATTCCTATATATTTAAGACCAGAGGTCTTGGCTCTAGTTTCCTTTCAGATAGTTAACAGGGATCTTACACTGAGACCAAAGTGGCCTGGGAGTGCTGTCCTGACATTTTAACAAAACTGGGTATGGGAAGGGGGGGAGGTAGGATCACAACGGTACACATAAATCTATTTTTACAAAGTGAATGGAGAAGCTCATTAGGTACATTTGTTTGTTTCAAGATGTAGACATTTGCCAGCCAAAGGAAGCACATATTTCCACTTTTCCCCCAACCCTCCCTAAATCTCTACCCTACCACCAAGAGCTCAGCTAAAAGGAATACTTGAGAAGTGATGTGATACAAGGGCATCTATACAGGTTCTGGCATGCCATCCCAAATACCAATTGCTTCTCTTTACAGCTGTAACTTGTCCCAAACTAATTATCCCCATTCTCTTTTCCAAAGATATTATTTTTATGGGGTGGAGGAAGAAATTCAGTTACCCATTAACTAAGAAAATAACTGCAGTCAAACATCCCTTCCCATATGGCTGTATCACTGAATAGTTTTAAGAGAACAACTATCCTTTCAGACATTTACCTACCAATTCTCCAATCTCTACTCTGTGAAGATGACGTGCTTCATCACTTCACTTGTTATTCCTCATCTGGTCCTAAAGCTCATGGTGAGGTTTTTTTGTTTTATTATAGGGTAAAAACCACTATGCCCAAACTATAAGGAGGGTACACCAGGGCAAGAAGAGTGCCATGCAGGCACAGCTCTAAAGGCAGGGTTTGCTTCATCTTCCACATGTCTAATGAAGAAAGCCCTTTTACCCCTTTAACATAGGCAAATGTATAGAAGCAGACCCCTGAAACTTTCAAATCTGCCATTCAATAGATTTAGCTTAAGAGCTCATTTCCCTAAAAAGAGAAAAGAAATCCCAGTCACCCTCCATAATTCACAATTAGCCCAATGAAAGAGTTTTTGTGAAATCAGAGCGATGAAAACAAAACCAAAATCAAGGAAGTATGGAAGGGCATTATCAGTGAATAACATACATGAGGACACAGGTCACATATACAGGTCTCTGCCACTCTCTGGGAATGGCATGCTACAACTATCTGAAGACAGAGGGTTCTTGCCAGTACAGCTATTTCCTACACGTTCGGTGAGGTGTTTGCTTCTTCTGGATCTCCAACCTGCATCGGCTACGCTCATCCAACCAGGGCAGCTCAAAATTCCTGGCAAAAAAGGATGAGGAAATCAACTTGCAAAACTAAAAGAGATTCATTGTGGACATGACAACAACTCCAAAAATGTCAGCATGTCCTTCACTACTCCTAGCTCCAACTCCTAAGTCCCAAGTTTAGAGTGTCTCTCCTGCCTCAAAGCCAGAGCAACAGTGTACCATTAAAGTAATGGAATAATCTATTTCTAATTCAAAAAGCAATCCTAATTCCTGGTTTGGGAATCTTATCATTGCAAAAAGCTAGCTGCCTAAGTAGTATTATCTCTTTCCTTTTTTTTTTTTTTTTTTTTAAGAGACAAGGTCTTGCTTTCTCACCCAGGATGGAGTGCTATGGCACAATCTTATCTCACTGCAACCTTGAACTC